AGCTCTGAGGATCGCAGTTCAAAGCAACCATGGCAAAAAAAAAAAAAGTCCACTAGACTCATCTCCAATGAACTACCAGAAAGCCGGAAGTGGTGCTGTGGCGCACGTGGCGGAGCGCCAGCCTTGAACCAAAGAGCGCAGGGACAGCGCCAAGGCCCTGAGTTCAAATCCCAGGACCAGCACAGCGAAGAAAAAGAACGTGAATCTGTTCAAGTGGTTTTGATTACCGAACGTGCCTCAGGCTCTTTTCCGCGGCTGGTGTTGGACCGGCAGATCGCTACCTTGAGGGGTGACAGGGCGGTGGATCCTGGCGGGAGAATTCCTAAGTGGAGCACCAGGCGTGCTCTGATCACTGCCACCCCAGAGGGGACACATTTAAGTGCCGTTCACCCCCAAGATGTGAGGAGGCACCAGAGACCTGCGATCACTGTTTAAATAAATAAACCGGACACAGAAGCGAGTGAAGATAGACCAGAGAAGAGCCCCGGTGCGATTCAATAGCTTTATTCAGCGGCTAGCCAGGCAGGCGCAGAGCGCATGCGCACAGCAAGCCCTGGCCAGGGCGGCCGTCGAAGGCAGCAGCGCACAGTCCGTCCTGCGCCGGGCGTGAGGCCTGCGTGGAGCTGGCCCCGCGGTGCCCACGCGTGACCCAGGCCACCGTGAGCCCCGCCAGGTGCACGTGCAGCCACTGACCCTCCCGGCTAGCTCCGCTGCGGAGCCAGCAGACGCCTTACCTCTGCAGGGAAAGTTACAGCAGTGTGCGCACACGCGCGTGCACACACGCGCGCGCATATACTGGAGACAACGCCAGCGGTCTGGCCCGCGCTTCCTGGAGACGCGCGCGCGCGCCGGGGCCTCGCGCCTGGGCAGGGCGGCGCCCCAGGTCGTGCGTGCCGGGCCTGTAGGAGGGCGACGGCGGGGGCACACGGCTGCGGCTGCGTAGCTGGTGTGAGCATGGCGGGGCTCCAGGCCCGAGGAGGTCCCGGCGTCGGTGTAGCTCGCCTCCGGGCGGGAGGGAAGGGGATGAGGCCGCCACCGCGCCCACAAAGTCGGTCCCCCTGGCCCGAGCGCAAAGCTCGTCATGAATACCAGCTCCTGGCACGTGGTCTCCTCCCGACGCGGGACCGGGCTGCGCAAAAATGGGGGGAGCGGAGGGGAGAGAGACACACACGGAGAGACAGAGACGGAGAGAGAGGCTTGCTAAAGGCAGAACACATGGTGGCGGCGGCGGCTGGAGGCCGCCAGGAATACATGGCTACATTGTCCTTTAACAGCAGGAAAAAACAGTGTAAATACCGCGATCCCCCAAAGACCCGGAAACAAACAGCAAGACTTCTTCATCCCGATCCTGTCTATCTGCCTGTCTGTCTCTCTGTCGGCTTGTCTGTCTCTGTCTCACTGTCTGTCTGTCTCTGTCTGTCTCTGTCTGTCTGTCTGAATGTCTCTCTCTTTCACACACTCACACAGCTTGGTGGATAGAGATCTCACACTACACGGAGACAGAGCCCACATTTTCAAGCAGACACCGCGCTTGTGTCTCAGTCCAGGCCCCTGCGGGAGGCCTCAGACACGGGCTTGTTTTCCAGAACGATCAGTGGCTCGGAGATCAGGAGGTCGTCCTCGGCGAAGGAGGAGCTGTGGTCCGTGTTCACGAAGTTGGGGAGGTCGAACTCCACGAGGTGGGGCGGCGCGCGGGCGGGCGGCCCG